TGTACAAATATAGGTCATGTACTGACCACCCTGTTTGGGTTTATATTGCTCTAAAGATTAGCAGTAAATTATTGTTTAGACATAACCATTTAGCTTTAGAAGACAATATATTGTGTTTTGTCCACAGCTAGGCTGACTTAGTTTACATAGGAATTGTGGTTGCATTCCATCTGCATTCATTTTAAATGGTTTGTCTACATATATGCATGTTTTTAATAAAAAAAAGTTTAACTTTAAACACATGTGTTGAGATTCCGTTGGGACTGCGCTGAGTATGACCTTGTGGAAACCTTGCTCAAATTAAAGGGAAATTCCTTACTGGGGAATTACAATTAAAAGTATTAATTTGGTTTAAGTGCATATATTTTTTAAGTAATTAACTGTACTGAATTAACATTAAATTTACAGCCCTAGCACAGACATGAGATGCCATGCAGGAAAACCCCTCAAAACCAGTAGATCATTGCGTTTTCCTGAGGACATTACACGAGTTAACTGAAATAACGAATCGGGTCGTGGAAATGCTGATAATCAGTCTAATCCTGGCTGTCCCAGTAAGCCAGTTAATAGCTTAGACCGTGCCCGCCACTTTATAACGTTCCCTCAGGACCCAGGAACCTGCCTAGACCCCGTCCTGCTATCATCTGGTGCTGGCGATTCTGCTAGACAGAAACAGGAAGAGAGAGAATGAGAGAGAGAGAGAGAGAGAGAGAGAGAGAGAGAGAGAACGCTCCGTCACAGCTGCCAACTGTGTTTACAGCTGCACGGCATCAAACATTCATCAGATGCCATCTTTACAGTCTGTGATGTGAAGCAATCAGCATTTCACAGCCTGTCAAATGATGTCGAAACCGCTTGCTACCTGGCAGTGTCAAAAAGCGAAAGAAAAAAATCTTAAACACACTCACACACACAAACACACGTGCAGGTTTTCCTTTCTAGTCCGGACTACTGACAGACGAAGCAAGCTCATATGTTAAAATATTAATTCTACTTAAACACTTAAAAGACTCTAATGACAGCAAAGCTCCAAATCAGCTTTCAAGTGTAAATAATCTCTTTTTTCCTCACCCTTCGATCCCTTTCATCTTTATTGAAAAAGCTTGAAACTACAGAGTTCAGAAGCAGCAAATTTGGCCAGTTAATGCCTGGCTGGGTAATGCTCATTTAGCCTGTGGTGGAAACTTTTTGGAGTCTGTTTGCTCTGTGTAATGCGCTGTAAGAAATTACTTTGCTTAATGCTTACCATCCGAATTGTCATCGGCCTGCTCTCGACTAATACCTGTTCTCATCGTCGTCGGCCCTGTGTGAGTGTGTGCATGCATGTTTCGACAGTGCTGTAGCTCCATCTACAGGCCACAGTGAGACATGCAGCAGAGAACTCTGTGTGACCCCTCTGCAGTCTCCACTGATGTATGCCACATTCATCTTTCTCAGTAAGTACAAGCCACATCTAAAAAGTGGTATTTTATAAAGATTTTATCTGACACGGCCCTCCTTCTTGGACTTACTGTAGTTGTCGGACTTTATAAGTGCTGTTTCTAGGCTCATTACTGTTGCATAAACAAGCAATAAAAATAGTCAACTATGTAAGCAGTCTGTCTGGTTAAGAGAGCACGGCTGCATGCTTTTGGGAGATGTATTAAGTGTTTTTTTTCTCAAATGCATATGCAGATGCTCCTAATGAGACTGGAAGTGTTCAAAACAGTGCCTTGGGTAGACGTGCATAAAAAATTCAAAGGGATACAGTGGGATTTATGCAATAAGAATCAGCATAACCACTAAAACCTCACAAAAGTTAAAAAAAAAAGTAATATGTAATACATGTTATTACTGATACAAATGTATTACATTGTAATATATATATATGTTGCTATTTTGAGGTAATATCCTTGCAGTGTAAATATACAATTAAGGATTGAGTAATATTAGATAATAACATGTACAGACTATAAGGTTAAGGTTGGGTTTGGGGTTGCGCTTTACTTTGGGGTAAGTGCCCTTACGTTAAGAAAGTACTGGGTAATTTAAGATAACTACATGGGTTATTATTACCTAGTTATTAACCAGTTATTGTAATTACTATAATAATCGCATAGTATGTACATGGGGCACAGGCACTGTAAAATAAAATGTTACCAAATGTAATAACTTAAATCATGACATCTTTATCTTAATCATGATATCAATATCCTATTGTCTGATTTCTAATGCTTACTTATTATAAAGTATCCTGTTTTAAGGTAGAGAGTTTAAGGTTTTAGATGTTTTTTTCCTGGAAAACAAGACAAAAATACTTATGAAGTAAGTTATTTTTGCAGTGTTTTGCTTGCTGTTGATTTTCAACAACCTTACCCATTCAAAGTTATAAGCCAAATCACTCAACTAGTGACTTTACGGGTGCACTTATGTTAAACTTATCTTCTCTCCTTCAGAGGTCCAATCAGAGTTTCTCTGCATAACAAAGAATATACTATTATACAATATAGAAAAGTTTTGTGCATATATATATATATACACACACACATGCACAAAGCAGAGTATATTCAAACGAAAACACATCCACCCACACACATATTTCCCACTCTCCACAGATGAAAGCTGTGTTTTGCGAGAGGGAGCGTGTATATGCGCTCTGCTGTGTGCAGGTCGGGGTGGTGACCTCTGGGATTTCCAGCACTGGGGTGGGAGTGTGTTCCGGGAACAGGCGCTGCCTGTGCAACCTACAGACCTGGACAAAGAAACCGCAGCACCACAAATGCATTATAAGTTGCGTAAAGTGTAAAAGCTACAGGACAGAGACTCCACTGACTCTATGAATAATGTATTGTAATGTATTTTAAATATATGTTTGTAAAGTAAATAGCATCCTCTCTCCACTGGCTACTTTGTGTACTACATTCCAAGTATACAGGCCTACATTATAAATGAAACGGCTGACATGACTACGATGACATGGATTGGATGCGAACACGTCGAGGAAAGCACGGTCTCCTCTAATTATGCTCTTCTTAGAGGCAAGCATCTGTCAATGTCTGACTCTGTTACCTTATTACGGCAGCCTACAGATATACATACACCCATAGAGCGAGAGAAAGACGGATATGTGTTTGTTAACCCTTGTGGGTTACGCGCTGTTTTATAGACGTTGTGCAACATGTATGGTAATTATCAATGGTATGGTAATTAAACGTTGTGAGAGAGTACATAAAAAAAGCATGAAACTGGTCTTTAAAGCTATAAAAACACACATAGTTGAGATTCACCCCTCCGGCCTGTTGTTTCTAAAGCCTAGACGATTTACACAGGTGCCCTATTTTCATTTTTCCTGTCATTTCCATAGCTCAGCATCACCTGCACAGCTTTAAACGCAGTGGTGCGGAAACAGGCCACATGCTAGTGGAGAAGAGATGATATTCGTTCTGTTCTCAACCCCACGTGTGCAGACAAAGATAGAGCGGGCAACAGGACGTCCCACGCCTCTTCCCAGTCTGACACCCCGTCTCCTCAGGTGGATGGGCGCACACACACCTCCGATGACTCCCCTTCAGGGGGCACTGCTCATTCCAGTAGCGAGGCGCAGCGGCACGGGAGAATGCACATTATATTACAGCTTCAAGAAAGCCTCGAAAAAGAACTGCTTGTGTGTTATAGCATGGATTCAAATGCTACCTACTACCTACAATAAAACACAGATCTGCTCGCTGGCACATACATCGGAAGGGCTGTGTGTATATAATAGTGTATATTATAGTGTAACAAACAGATCAATGGAGGAAAGCAAATCTGATTCTACATCAGCACACTTTGTTTTTACTTTTTGCCACTTTTTAATTGACAGGAAATTACTAAAACCTAAATCTGTAATAAAACCGCAAGCAGTTTATTAACTCTTTCTCTGCCAACTTTTTTTTTTTTTAAGTTGCCACCCACCGCCAGCATTTATGATAATTTCCACAAAACATTCATGGCCCGCAGAATATTTTGTTGCATGAATATCTGAACATTCAATATAATCAAAAGAAAGAACAGAGCCTCTGCTTTTAAACATTCTTTTGCATCCCTTTTTTTATCAACACTTGATTTGTGAGCAAGTTTTTGCAACATTTTGAACAATTTTTTTTTTTTCCCCCAAAGACTACAACGTGCCTAAGCAAAGCTTCTATCACTTGATTCTGCTCCTTTTTTTGCCTATGTTTTGATCCGGAGCTTCTCTACTCTTACAGAGAATCTGTAATAGCGTTGTGTCATACAGAAAATTCCATCAATGGCAGTGCAAACAAACGACAATCCAATCAAGAAACCATAAATCCAAACAGAAAGACGAGAATAATCCAATTGGAAACGCAACGCCTTTACAACAGAGATGTAAAGTCAATGACTGACAATTTAAGACTGAAACACAGGGGTATAAAGACAAGAGGCTAACAAGGCACTGGTGTGGTTAATGGATTAATATGGTGAATAACAAGGGCAACTAATGAAACAAAGGCAAACAGGAACTAAACCACAGGAAATTAAACCAGAAGCAGCAAGGCAACAGAATATCAAAATAAGAGTCCTTGAACACAAAACACATGGGAAGCCGTGACAGAATCGAATTGAGGAGCTCAATGAGTCTTGAGAAATATTAACCTCTCAGCCATGACTCCAAATACATCATTTCTTACGGTAAAACTCACTTCCTTTGAACATTCTAAGAAAAGCAACACAAAAATAATCTCGTAATGTGGATTAAGTTGTGGTGGGTGTTCAATAACAGTTATTTATTTAAAAAATCAACAAATAAAAAAAGAAATCATTGATTCACAACACTTTATAGCTGCACCCTGACAGGCCAGGGCCAAATGAACACGGTCTGTTTTCCGTCTTGTGAAAAGTTGCTATTAAGGAGCAGAGCGTTTTCTTCAAAGAAGGATTACTCAGATGCGGTCACTGACCTCAGGTTACTAAAAGGGCCACAGAGTTGAAATCTTGTAAACAGTGGTATGAAATCTTACCAGCAAGGCTGTAATACTCCTCCGTGTGTTCTCCCACTGGAAGCAGCTGTTAATATACTGCAGCGTATAGAGAATGGCCACGCTGATCTTCCTCACTCGATAGATATTACGTGCTAAAAGCTAATGGGGACAAAGCAGTAGTTAGCAAGATGTGCCTGAGGACGTAATGCTCACAACATGACATTCACTCAGGTGTAAAGAGGCTTTTAAACTGAAGGTTCATTGGTGATAAATATTAATAAGTCAAGTCATCTTTGGTGTCTAAAGAGCTTTAGGCGGTGCTGCAGGAAAAACTGAGCGTAATGAGTCTCTGAAGGTGCCAACAACAAAGCTAACATTAAGAGAAAGTGGAAAATATGGTGCTGTAGTTGTTGATAAAGATCACCTTTTTGTTAAACTTCGGGTTGTCCTCTGCAAACATTGTTTCTTTCGGCTGGAAGGTTTTGAATCCTGCTTTGATCTGGGAAAGGAGGAGAAAAAAAAACAAGACTTTTGTCACATAATGACTTGACAGCTTTTAAGAACTTGAATATAATCTTAACAGAAAGTTAATTATGTTTGAATGACGTTTTGTTTTAGTAAAGGACTCTCGAAGCATCTGATATCATTCATATTATTCATGGATAATCATATTTATTTTATATGATGCACTTACAGGGTTGTAGAGGACATCCAGCTCCACAGTGATGCTTCCTTTGGTCACCCTTGATAGATTATTATTCTTCAGCATTCTGGTTATTTGTTGACCATTAGAAACCTAAAGGCAAAGTAGCGATATTGACATTGGTACAATGATACAAACTGTGCAACAATTATTATAAAAACGACTTATTTGTGTGGTACTTACAGTCAGCAAAGGAATGGCAACTTTTCCCAGGAAGTCTGGAGCTTTGTCCCCATCATCATGATAGACTGTCAGCACCAGAACGTCATGGATGTCCTTAATGGGGCTGAGGACATGTCAAAATCAATGTGATTTCAATACCATGAGCATGCATAATGACATACTGAGACATCTATCAATTTAACTTACAATGTTAGGGCTGTTCTCCATTCAGGATTCAGGGTTTTGGATATCATGTGAGTTTGCAGTTTGCTATTACCGAGCTCAACGGTACAAAAGGGGTCATTTTTACCTGATTAAGTTAAAATATTTTGACATTATTATGACTGCATAAATATTTATAATAGGCAATACTTTACTTAATAACTGTACAATATCCCTTACATACATAATGACACTATATTTAATTCAGATAAGTACCACTTATATCTGTTGATGGAAGATCTGTGGCTTTTATCAACTTGATTTGAAGATAGCCAACATCCTTCAAGTCCCGCAGGAAGTTCATCGGTCTCTGTAAATACAAATGACCTCTTATATCTAAACATATAATCATATTTATTTCATATCATAGTAATCATTTTAATTTACATGGAGTTGGAAGGTAACAAAAATAAATCAATAAAAAAACACAAGAAAACTAAAATAGCACTATGTAATACCCACATATTGCTCCTGCATCCTCTCAAAGGTCTTGGGGTCATCTAATGGAGCCGCCTGGAGGTCTGAGATGGATGCACCAGAACACGGGGTCAGTGTGACCAAAAACACCAGTCGACCATTGCTTTGGTCCAGCGAATGAGTATATAACTGCCTCTGATTGACAGGAAGTCTGGTCAGGTCAATATCCAGACTGTGAAGAGTAGAACCTATTAGTATTTCATCAATGGATAAGCATATGCAGTGGTTTTCAAAAAGCACAACATGAATGTGTGCGTTTGAGCAATACTTTAGTTTGTGGCCATCAGATCACTGCAATATGAGAGAGTGGGGTAAGATGTGTCAGTGAGTAAGCTGTCTTGCTACTAGTGATAGAAAGCATTGTCTCCAAATTAATTACTAATACACAATTTCACTATATAAAATATTCAAAATATTAAAACGTCTGGTTTAGTAAAATGTGAAAGATATGCAGCAAAATTAGACATTTGGAATGGGATTGTTTTTTTTTTGCCTTTTTTAACTTATCATAAGTGACAAAGGCATTAATATTACAAAAGATTTATATTTCAAATAGATGCCGTTCTTTCAAACTGTCTATTATTAAACAAAAATCCTGAAAAAATAGCAGGTATCACTGTTTTCAACTGTGATAATAATAAGAAATGTTTCTTGATCAGAATGATTTGTGACTGAAGACTGGTGTAATGATGCTGAAAATTCAGCTTTGTCATCACAGGAATAAATTAAATGTTTAAGTATATTAAATATACAATTTTAAATTGTAATAATATTTCACAATATTACTGTTTTTGCTGTCTTTTTGATCAAATAAAAGCAGCCTTGGTGAACAGACAATATGAAAATTCTTTACGACCCCAAACTTTCAATGGTAGTGTATATGTTCACTTGAAATGTAAATCGTTTATTTCTCAATGGTTCAACTTTCCTCTTAACCCTTTGATGCGCAAGCTATGGATACCCCCTCTAATGCACAACATGGGTCTAAAAAGACCCGTATTCATTTCCTATGTTATTTCATGCATGGCTCGGCATTTTTTTGTTTCACCTTTTGAAATCACTCTATTTGAGCATTTTCTATTTCATGATCTATAAATTTCATGATTTATGAATATTCAAAATATCTTGTTTTCAATTATCACAAATTCATATTTTAATATTTCCTAGGTTTTGTGTAAATACATCAAGTTTACACACATGGGTCTAAAATGACCCATCTATGCAAACGTGATAAAACAAAAGAATAAAGAAAACTTTTTGTTAAAATAACCATTGTCACAGTTGTTTAGATCAACACATTTACTGTAACACTTAAAATATGTTTATTGGCCACTTTGTCACGCATAACACACATATAACCGATAACACTGAAATTGAACTGTAGTGTAGTGCAACTGTAGGGGGGATCTCCCCGCCACCAATGTGCAGCATCCACCCGGATGATGCGACATCAGCCATAGTGCACCAGAACGCCACCACATGACAGCTTATGTGACCGATAGCATTGATTTATGACCACAAATAAAAATGAATATGGAGGTACTGCCCAGGTAAGGTTTCTGCCCAACAGCACCAATATAATACTTGTATATATAACTTTCTATCGCAACTTTTATTTTGTTGACCTAGCTAACATTAGATAAAATAAAATATGTCGACCGCAAGCTAGCTAATAGTATTGGACATGTTTCTCTTTTGCACTAGTAATGGATTTCAAGGTCAAGGTAACCTTAGCCTAAACGTTCAAATTTTAGGCTATATCTAGATGTCTTCCACAAAATATCAAATATTTTCTGTGACAAAAAATGTATTAAATAAAACTTACATGCATGAAATATACAAAAGCAGCCGTGTTGAATTTTGAAATGTGTGGCAGGTGAATAGTTTTCTGCAGTAAATATATTTATACTATTTATAAATATCAAAGGTTCCTATATGGGTCATTTTTGACCCATGTGTGTAAAATTGATGTAGAAATACAAAAACCGTGTTTGTTTATAAAGTAAGAAAGGGAAAATAAAAATAATGATTTGTGGAAATCAAAAACAAGATATTTAATGAATACCTGGATTAATAAATGATAAAATATATTTATTTCAAATATTCAGCAAAGAAACATGAATACGGGTCTTTTTAGACCCATGTTGCGCATTAGAAGGGTAGTGAAACAAAAACGATTTTTATTCGAAAAGTAAGAAAGGAAAAATTTAAATAAGGATTTGTAATGATCTAAAACAAGTTAATTGAGGAATACCTGGAATACTGAATGATGAAATTAATTTCTTGCAAAGATATAGAAAATGAAAACTCAGTCGGGTCTATTTAGACCCATGTTGTGCATCAAAGGGTTAAGATGTCCCAGCCTACTCTTAAAGTTGTGTCACTTCTATGCTATAGGCACATTCTTCAAATTTCATTTGATAGCAGACGTCCTGAAATACAGTATATTTAGGCATTTCAGTATACCTCTATCCTTTTTGTAATTGACTAGTGGACAAACTGAAGCAAAAGCTGACACAGCTTGCCCCACTCCCCCTCCTTGTTCTAACTTTTAAAACAGTATGCGAAGTGGCTCCAGCAAACTTACACTCCCCAGCACTCCTCCGACTTCCTGCCCCTCTTGCAGCAAACCTCCACCATGAGATTCTCCTGTGCATCCTGGAACTGGTTAAAGTCGAAAGACTCTCTCCACTGCGGGTTTGCCTTAATACACAGATTCTGAGACAGAAAGATAGACAAGCAGGAACAAGACAGAGAGGAAGTTGTGTCAATTTTAAGGGACTCTCAAAACAGAGACAGCTAACATGACAGGTGTATTAAGCCTTATTCAGTAAGACTTCAATAAGACATGTGGTGGAGGAGAAGCAGCCGTCTTTAGGAGAACACATCCTCTCTTCTCGCTGGGATTATAAACTCTGACAGCATCCAATTAGAACTAGTTTTGTTCAACAAGCAAACATGCCCAAACAGAGCCAGGGGGCTCTAGAAAAAAGATGACATGAGAATACAAGACTAGCTAGTTGGAACCATTGAGGGCGGGAGGTAGATGTGCAAGGTATTCTGGGTATGCAAATGAGCCGAACAAGACGCGGTAACAGAAGCATCAGGAGAGAAGCCCTGCCAGACACGGCCGATCTAATGAGAAGCCTCCTCTGTCACCAGAGCAGTGAAGCCTGGGAGAAGCCATCCGAAAAAGGGGGAGGAAGGTGTGTAAAGCGGACGGGAATATCTAAAGCGAGGTATGTGAACAACTAAGAAAGTATGGGAGGAGGAAGAGGGGGAGGGAAGGGTTTAATGAGGTATTGAGAGAAAAAGAGGATAGAGGTTTAGAAACAAAGAAAGAGACGCAATGATGTAATGAGCAGGGGAAAAAGAGAAAGCAAGAGAGGGATGAGCTCACCTTGCTCCTGACCCTCTGGTCTCCCAATCTGAAGCGTACGTAGATGTCTCCCTGACCGCAGTCGGGCATGTCCTGGCCTTCCACCAGGATGACGGTGTAAACTCCAGTCCAAACCTGATTCTTCATGAGTCGCCCAGCCTGCTGACCCTGGAACAGCCAACATATACAATAAGGCATCCGGTGTTTGGGCCAATGTTGCTCTCTCAGCTCATCTTGTTGATCATAAACATGTTTTTTTTTATATGCTGTGCAAACTTAAACATTCAGTTTTTGGTGTATTTTTCATTGCTTCTTATTTGAATATGTTACCAAGGTAACATATTATACTTGGCTCACATAGATGAGGTTTTGACGAAATTGCGAGAAAGACTTGTGATAGCCTTGGAACCAGGTTCTAACCGAAGACATGTTTGTGCTGTAAATAAATGTTTTGCAGCATACACCATCATTTTACATAAATAGTGTGGTTATGAATTTAAACACACACACACACACAACATATGTGTATATATATATGTATAAACACTGCTGAATTGTCAGCATCATTACTCATTACATTAGTCTTCAGTCACATGATCCTTCAGAAATCATTCTAATATGCTAGAAATATAACTACTAGATCAATGTTGAAAACAGTTGTGCAGCTTAATATTTTTGTGGAACTGTAATTTCACCAATTTATAATTTCTTTAAATGTAAAATACTTTGCTGAATAGAAAGTTTGTAATAAATGTCTTTACTGCCACATTTGATCAATCTAGTGTGTTCTTGCTGAATTTCAAGAAAAAAAGTACTGACCTCAAACTGTCTGTATATATTTGCTTTAAATTTGGTATTAAAAGCAAAGGGACAAATACAATTTTGAAGCAGGGAGTTATGACCTACTATAAATACATGCAATGTATGCATATATAGTAGAATATGGCATGTTAAAACACATTTTAAATACAATTCTATTTCTGATTCTGTAACAAAATATATCACGAAATAAAACCCTTCTAAAAACTGCTAGTTGAAATGTGCAGGTGATCCCCACACCTCGGAGAGAGAAAACAGGTCCATCAACACGACTGCAGATGGATAAGTACACAGTACAGAGATGACTTGTGGGTTGATAGCCCTGCACTTTCAAAAAACACAGCATCAGGAAGAGGCTGGTCTGTTCTGCCAGTAATCACAGACCAGAGAGCTGTTTTCCCACCTGGCTGCTCGGAGAGTGTGACTGAGCCTTTGCTCCATTAGCATCACACACACACACACACGGCACAGCAGACTAACCAGCATTAACATTTAATGTAATGGCCACATCTCCATAAACAAGCCTCTTTAAAGAGAGAGAGAGAGAGTGAGGGATAAGGGGGGTAGTTATAGAGGGAGCTGAGAGAGAAATATAATATTCATCCAAGCCAAGTCTTCCCAAGTGTTTATTTTGGACAAATTTGTGATCGGCGTGGCCAATAAAACAATTCCGCTTAAGAGTAAGTGGCCCCTAAAGAGAGGCTATTCCTGGTGCTAAAAGAGCTGGGGGATTGACTCCATATGGTGGAGCAGCATGGGGACAAGGGGACAAGCCCAAAGCCGTACCCATTTGGCTAGAGCTTCAGTGCTGTCCGTCCACAGCTGTGATATTACATCCCAACATCTGGGTTATAGCTCACCATGCCTGGGAATGAGCCATCACACATATCCTCAGCATCTTACACTGGCATAGTGCCTCAAAGACTACACACACATACACACACACTCCAGACACTGTCAGGAAGAAGAACCACATGTTATGTGCCAATACGGCTGCCCGTTTCCATCTCAAAGACAGTGTGGCATGGCTGTGAAGAAGGAAGTGTGATAGAGGAGGAGAGGTAAGAATTGAGAGACATGTTCTGCCTGTACTGATAGGTGTCAAATAGAACTAGATCTCGGTTGATTTGGCAGAAGACACTGCAGTGGAAACACCAACCAAACACATACTGATCTATTACCTGATCACGTAAACTAACAACACGTGTGCATTTGGGTCAGTCTCACAAAAAACTGGCTTCATGTTTCAGACATTTTAGCCTAGAATCAAGTGAAAGAAGCAAGAAATTATATTTTGAAGCTATAAGATTGATGCAATTAATTTAAGCAAATTTAACCCCCATGTCAAATTCTATTGCTAATGCAAATCAGATTTGATATTATAAATGTATATGTGAATTGTATTTTAAAGCTCATTCGTAAATAAATATACATCATGATAGTTCTTGTATAGAATAAAAATATTGCTGATTTTAATAAAGAGAAAGATATTTTGTCCTGACAATATAATATGATAAAAACATCAGCAAAAAAAGTTTCATTTCAGTCAAAACAGGCAAGTGGACAATGTAGCTATTGTGCAAAACAGATTTTGGGACAAATTAAAATTATGTATGAAACTGTATGTTCATACTTTGCCTGCTTTATGCCACTAAAATGAGAAAATTTAGCTGATTTTAATAAAAAAAATGTAATGAAAATAATGTCACACTGCAAGAATCGTGCATCTCGTCCCCAAAGTAGCCCATTGTTTTTGCACAAAATATAATTAGTTAATTTTATATTCATTTTGGGGTAAAATCTAACCCAGAAGTTTCTTTAAAAGACCTTTTTCAGACAAGACTTTGTCTAACAATCTAACAAGATACTGCATCTAAACTTATCTAAAGTAGTTCTTGTATTGATTATCCAAACAGGTTATAACTTATATAACATACAGTTACACGACATACTGAAAAGAAATTAATTGCTGGTCAAAAATACAGTATACTAAAAGTACTCTGTTACTAAAAAGCTTTTGTTTGGAGAAATCTTAAATTGCAAGCTTTCACGGCTGTGAGGTAAATAAGCTCTCATCTGTGAATTGACCTGCACAAAATGCTAGACAGACCGTGTGCTTTGTTTAAATCACGGTGATACATTTACTTTGGGAATCATGGACTGGTTCAGCATCACATCAGAGAGTCGCAGACACAAACAAAAGTTTCTCGCTCTGTTGAAGTATATGTTGAAGTTTCACTAACTAAGTGAAAGTGAATGTAAGGTAAAGTCAAGAAACTTTACAAAACAGCAGTGAAGTATCTGTGGGGAAGATGGTGAGGATCTACTGCCCTCCAGTGGACAGATGTGATACAATAACAACCTTATTGCTGTGGTATCTTTTATTAGATTGTGTAACTTTTTATGCATTTTATCAAATAAAATGTATGTATTTTGTGTATTTTGGCTTGGTAACAAATACTGTGTGGGTGCTCTTCTCTCTTGTAGGCAGCTGGACAGAAGTAATATGGCGAGAATGTATCATGACATACCTTATTGATGCTTCCCTTTCTTCTTAGAAGCCACTTCTGAAAAATGGGTGGCAAATGAACATTATGTTAGAAAGCCTCTTGTCTGTTTCCACTAAAATGAGACTATTTTATTAACAAACAAGTATGCATTACTTCAATGAGCTCATTGTTTCTGCCTTGAATTATTACATTGTTTCAATTAATACATTTTTAGCTAACTGTCATTTTGAATATGTACATTTCTGAAATACCTAACTGAGACAGTTACCTCTGATAACAGATCAGTCTAAATTGTAATGTGGCTTTGAAACGATGTGTATTGTGAAAAGCGCTATACAAATAAATGTGAATTGAACTATTTTCAGGAGTCATACATTCCGTTTGGCAGGTTCCTCTCGGATGGACAGGCAGGTCTCTATAATGATCACTCCCATGTTGGTCTCCACACTGTTGGCGTCCTCCAAAGATAAAGCCATCGGAGTTGTTCTGCAAATAGAAACCTTTATCTGTTTATCTATTTCTCAGGAGAAATTCTTTGACGAGAAACTTTAACTACAATATCATGGAAGGTATGAAATAACAACGTTTTCCTCACTTGTCCAATTCCAGTTGTTGGAGAGAAAAGCTGCTTGATCCCATGAAGTCATTGGATCTTAGGTCACGATCATACACCTGCATCAATCGTAATTGTGAGATGATGATGACCATTAGTGTTACAAAAGTTTAACACACAAAACCAAACAAAAAATAGAGATTATTTGCTTTTGTTTACATAAATCTTGAATCTCAAGATATAACTCGTTCTTTTGAATGCAACTCCAAAATATGTGAAAATGGTTATCATATAAAAAACAACATTGTCTCTAGCATATTTTATTCTATTTATTATTATTATTACAGAATTTGTTTGTTTTTGTTTTGCAGTTGCTTGCCACGGTATTGTACACGTTCCTTTCTTCATACTTTGTAAATTTCTGAAACATTTTATTTAATGACTTAAATTAGAATGAATAATAGAGATATTAAAGTGCAATTATTTGCATTATGTAATGATGTAAATACACCCCAAACCTTGAGAAAAACAGTCTGATCGAGGTCTCTGACGGGGAAGGAAAAGCATTCATTCCAGGTGGGATTCAGGTTCTTGGTCACAACTTTGCTTTTGTAGATCTGTTTGCCATCTAATTTGAATTTGACGAATGGGTCACTTGTACCTGTAGAAAACAAACACTTATCAGTATGCTACTAACATAAAAAGGACTCAATACATGTACATCTAAACCAATAGTAATTGTTGCATAATGTTTGCAAATAAGGGAACCAGTCAAAATGATATTTTGTGGTATTCAATCATACGTAAGCCACAAATTCTGATGATTAAGCTTTGTTTGTACGTTCATTTAATGACAAAACATGGTGGAACAGCGTTTCATATGATCACACTGTACAAGCACACAGATACGGTCTTCCAGACATGGAATAAAACTCATTATTTAGGCGAGCGTTCTTAGCGCAGGGAGGCGGACATTTTGTCTCTTTCGGAGTGATGGGAGCTGGCTGATTGTGAAAGAGTAAAAATTATAGCCAGCGTGAATCTGTTAATTTAACGCCGGTGTATTAAAACCCCAGAAACCGGGAGCAAGCAGTGTTAATCTCCAAAGCCTGTTAAGAAAGTCTGCCTTGAGTCTGTCTGCGAGAAGGGAGGGCGAGCGCTCCGTCTTTGTCTATGCTGTGGTATGCAGATTGGCTGGTAAGAAGAAGAAAAAAATATATGAGAGAAAAAGAGTCCATCGCTTCATTTGTATGGATGGATAAAGGAGTGCTTGAGAGAACCTGCGGGGAGCCTGGAATCACATGACAAAAGCCCTGTGGGGACGGGCTGTCAGGCCTGTCAGCTCGCCTCTCCAAATGAACATCTCCAGGAGGAACTCCTCCCTGCCAGACGCTGACAAGCAAACCTCCAGGCAGCTTGACAGGAGGAAGGGGCTCGAGCAGCCAGGGGAAGACAAAACACTGACGGCGGAAATTAACACAAGGAAAATGGAGGACGGGGAGGGGACTCGCCGGCCGCTTTTCCCATGTAGCGGCAGTCGGGGAGCGAGCCGGCCGTTAATTGCTAGGCAAATACAGGTGCTGGAGATGACGCGAGACGGGGAATGCGGTCATGTCAGGCCAAGTGAGGACTCAACTAGTAATGCAAATGGCTGCAGACCGAAAGAGAACTTTTTTCAGAGAACGTCTGAATCTTATCAATAAAGTATGGGATGGAAAGAGGGGTCAAACGTAGCCAACATAACTATTAGTTCACTGGATAGTCAAAGCACTAAAGGCTTTTGTATCCATCAACGCAAAATGTCTGATAATCAAAAAGTTTCAGGACACAGACTTAGAAGTTTTGCAATAAAGAAGACAAACAAGATTATGAATCTGAAAGTGAAAATATTTCAATGTAAAGAAGAATTGGTTAGACTTTATTTCGACGGTCCACTTTAGACATTCTACTAACTATACTTAGCCTATCAACTACACATTAACCGAGTATTAGTAGAATAAGTTGACATGTACTCGCAAAGTTACTGATAGTCAGTAGAATGGGAGAGCATTAAAATAAAGTGTTTGCTGATATTAAGCAGACAGTCTCCTAAAGTACTCTAATGACTGGTGGAAGTTGACATGTAATTGTAAAGTTACTTATAGTCAGTAGAATGACTAAAGTGGACAATCGAATTAAAGTCTTACCAAAGACTTTGCACCTGCTTCATTCATTTCTTTGAATGTAATTGCATTTCTTCAGTGATGCACTGTATCATACTGTATTGTAGACATGAGATGGTGTGTCATTCTCAAAGACCACCACACGAGGTCGCAATTTTGCAACAAAAAAAATCTTTTTAATTTACTCATAAGAAAATTTTTTTCCCAAAGAAGCTTACAAATACAATAAAGTGATTCATCTTAAGTAGGCATCACAAGAAGTGCTAAGAAAAAAAGTTTGAAACACTGATTCAAGATAATATATATTAATATCATTTAAAACAAATATTTCAGCTCTGAACAGTTATCTCAGGGAAAAACTTTCCCTTCATTGGTCACAAATACTGAATATATGACCCACGGTTGAGAACACTCTCTGCAAGGACTAAGATTCAGATGTTTGTCAGTGATTTGGACAGGAAAACATTTTGTTAGATAGCAGCCGGCAGAATATATCCTGAAACTACTAAGTCACTGCCACTTCTATGTGTGCATGGAGATGAGCTTGGATTGAAAAAAAAAAGAAAAAAGGTGTTTATAAAACAAAATTTCATTTTCTCATCATACCATCAAGCAAATAATGTGGATGAAGGAAGTTGCTCTTATAAGGTTACACATTATGTTTGGTCACAACTGCAATGTGTGATTTGAAAGACACCACTTGACATTCCAGTGTCCATAACACACACATTATATATTAATATCATTAATTAATTACAATATCATTTACTCAATTCATATGGACATGATATGATGTAGGGATTAATATACGGTTTCTTATTGACAACTAAATAACTATTGATTTATTTTCTTTCTTTCTCCTGCAGGTGGCAATGTATCCCATTTCATAACTCATATATTTATGCATTTAATTCACAGATTTTACAGTACATAAAGGAAGTTACAAACAAACTTTGAAAGAAAGAAAATAATGACTTCAGAGACAATCATTTTTGGTAACTGTCAGGTTGTTTGGGCTTCGATACAAAGGATTTGAGAAAGTGCATGGCCGAATTCTGAACAGGATATCTGGCACGCTATTGCCACCAAAACTTCACTCAGTCTATAGTGTGCATGACCATTTCATTAGATTCCGTTGGCAGAGAGGAATATCACTAGAATATATTCTAATTATGAAAAATAATGAGGTAGAGATGGTAATTAACAGCCTCTGGGCATACACCTGTGACTTTGAACATGAGAACGAGCTGCCCAATCAGCTTGCTCAGGCCTGCCAGTACACTGGCAATATGTCTGAAGAACCGCTCTGGGTATCAAATGGAAATTTACTACAATCATATGCCTGTAGGATTTCAGTAAACCTCAGTTGTTTAAACCTATGTTCTCTCTCTTTTGTATCTATAGTCCTCTCGCATAAGCAAATAGTTAAGAGATAAAACAGACAACACGTTTTACATTATGACACCAGGGACTGTGTACAGCCTCTAGGAAACAACACCTCAACATGACTCTATTTGCATCCGCGCCGTAGTAAAAACAAAACAAGGCCAGCTCATTTGTTTCCCAGCACTAGCCTGATAAAACTGCCGTGGCTTCTGTGCTATCAAGGTACAACATTTGAATGCAAGACAGTAAATGACGACTTCCAAAAATAGTTTTTTTTTTTTTTAAATGTAACACGGTAACAATGGCCAGACAGAAGTTACAGAAATAGATTCCGGTCCGACCGCATTCTGCAGTTTTTGGGATGACTAGAAAAGCTGGTTTAACTTGGAAACGTCTCTAACAAGCTCAGTCCTCCCTGCTAAAGTACATTCATAATGGCCACAAACAAAGGATTTTTTATATATATATTACATAACTACAGCACTTAAAATGTCCTTTTTAATTTAAGATTCTATTTTGTGTTTATGTTATATTAGATTCCATTATATTTTAAACTTCTACAGAAAGTTTTACAGATACCCGAGTCAAAATTTATATTTGAGATGAATGATGCTAAAACCTAGCCTGACTTCGTCATACTCATATTTTAGTCAGAATGTGAGTCTGATACTGCTCCATAGGGCTTTGATTATGAGGCGTGTCTTAACCGAACCAGGAAAAAAAAAACTCTGCACTCAATTGGATAGACCTACAACCAATGAGAGCAACGAAGTAAGTCAACTACTTTGCATAGCACAGTTGTCAACTACAGAACTCAAATGCACGCACGCTGGAAGAAGTAAAATAACGAGTGTTGCTTCTTTTACTTGGTCCTCTATGAGTGCGACCAAAGGAGAAACCACAACGACCACAGGGTTTTCATCGCGTCCCATCTTCTTAGTGACCATCGGAGCCAGCTGATAAATTAAACTTTTGCCGAATCCCGTAGGAAGGACGGCAAACACATCTTTCCCGATCGACAAATGCCTTGATTGCAGTTCTCTGTTTGTCTATTAAAATGAATGCGCTGTCGATTTCTTTTACAACAGACGCGATAGCGGAATCTATACATCTCAGTTCTCCAGCGGCAGTCATCTCTGAGGGAAACCAGTTGAGCGCTCTTTGATAACGTGATGATTACGTCCCTGCACTACCTGCAGATCATCTGTCCATCATCGTATAAAGCCCGCCCTGGCAATTTGATTGGCCCGAACATTTTTTGACTGATCATAATTACTCCTCAATGGAGCGAGTCCAGACCGAACTTCCCCGAACTTCCCGACCAAAAAATGTTGTGGGTGGGGTTCGGGCTGGCATCCAGGCTAGCTAAAACCGGCATGCCAAATCAAAAAAACACTAATAGCCTTTTGACATTAAACAGAAGAACCTAGAATTTTTCATTCATAAGATTCCAGAACATCCCTAAACAAGACATGTTTTTATTCACATGGTTACAGTACACTTACTGCTGAACCTAGAGCTGTTGGTATTTTTGGTGCGTAATGGTATTAAAGCAAGACTCAGTAAAGTAACAAAACCACAAAACAGGATTTACACCTTTCATTATTGTGCTGGGAAGTGCTGATGACCATCTAAGCTGCATAATAATTCCACATAAAGCTCCGCTGATTTCCCCGTTAATAAAGTTACCCTTATTAACTATACTGTTAATATAATGAAATCAATAAAGAATATTACTCCCCCCTCCATAAGTAAAGAAAAAACTGTTTTCTGAACATTAGAAATCATTAGAATAAGGAACATTTCTGATTAAAAAAAAAGAAAGAATGTCGACATGCAAGATCCCAAGCATACTGTCATCCATATGCACACTATAGACCTTATGCACCAGAGAAACGAGGGCGCCGCCATCTTTAGAATATCGTCTTTGAACTTCCGTTTTTGCGGTTGCTCTGTATATGTCTATGGCATCGCTGTCCAGGAGTAATTAGCTGGTGAAGTTGATTTACTTATTGTAGAGTTAACGAAAGTTATCATGAGCATTGTAAAGCATATGTCTTAACAAATGGACCTTGGGAATTTTTTTTAACGAGTCGTTCTTTCATAACTAGGCAAGATCGCTGTGAAAATACAGACCGGAAGTCAAAAGACAATGAGCTCAGCGCGGAAAAGGGGCGTGGCTACATAAGGTCTATAGGACAGAAGAATCTGTTCTGTCAAGTTCAGCATTTAATGCAAAAAAGTGGGAATCATCATGACAACTCGTTTTTCTATGGTAGTGTCATGATTCCTGTCTTGCGTTCCACTTGTCTTGTGTGTACTTTTGTCATTTCCTGTCTTGTGCTAAGTTTTGTAGTCCTATGTAGTTTTTCATGTTGATTCGTCTCCCCAGGTGTATCTTGTTTCCTCATTATCTAGTTAAGCTTGTTTGCCCCTGTGTATTTATAGCCCTTGTGTTTCACTTGTTACTTTGTCAGTTGTTGTACATGTATGGTTGCTTCTAGTTCGGTCCTTCTCGTGGTTTTATTTCTTTGTCCCTGGAGTTCTTTATTATTTGTTCTATGTGTTATTTCATTAAAACCTTGCAGATAGATAGATATATTTAAAAATACAGTAAAAACATATTGTGAATATGTTTTTATTGTGAAATAATATTACTATTTTAAATAACTTTTTTCTATTCAAATGTATTTAATCACTTGGTTCCATGAATGTCTGTACTATGTAAGTGTACTTTTCTGAGCAATTCTGGAAATTTGTATTCTGACACTTTGGACAAAGACAGCAAAGGCAGAGATGTTAGTGTTTCCCATTAATTGACTCTGGCGGCCCACCATAGTTTAATCTGTTCTGCCACGGTTTCATAATGAACCGAAAATATTATTATTTTTTTAATTAAATTGATCATAATTAGGGTTGCAAAGGGGCGGAAAATTTCCGGTAAATTTCCATGGGAAGTTAAGCTGGGCAATTTTGGAAATATTCCATATTAGAAACTTTCCATGGGACTAATGGGAATTAATGGGAATTTAGGGGAACTAACTGGGAATTCATTGTAATGTAATCGATCATTGTATCATATCCAAGCATAAATATAAACAGAAGTCATAAGAAAACATCCATACAAAATGTTTTCAACAGATATTTCAACAGATTTATTTGTAAGTAGAACAGAACAAGTTTGCTGATGAATTCACGCGCTGTAATAACCTAAATCCAACAGACAGGAATCTCTGAACTGCGGCCCAAACAAGGCGCCCATCGCACGTTACAGATCAAGATAACTTCTTGAACCTTAAAAAAGGTTTTTTAAACTACAAAACAAACTCACTTACACATATTTGAGAATCGGAATAGAAGATAGTTTATGACATGGTAAGCAAGTTTGTTAATATTTAGAAATAAAAGCGCTAAATCTGTCATACAGCGCTATTTTGGCTGTGGTGAATCACGTGCCAAGCATGACACGTCACCATGGAAACCATGATATCGTCCATCGGCCCAACCCTAGTAAGAATACTAATGCAATGGCATGAACAGATACATAAATAGTAAGGCTAGCTAAACAACTGGAATGATCTTGAAAACATATTGCAGGAGGCAGAGAAAAACAGCCACATGAGGTAGCTAGCATCTGCCTTATGTGGTAAATAAAGTTATACTAGCTTATTTAGCATCTAACTTATCAGCATTGCTACTAGATGAATACATTTGTATGTGATATTTGCAATTTAAACATTTAATAAATATATTTCCCCATAATATCATCAAAACTTACTTCACTTTGTTTAGTCCACAGGCTCAAATGTGTGCCTTCAATAGTCTTGTGCTTTGGGCTTCTGTACATGTGATGGAGGCATGCACAGTGCCAGTAGGGGGTGTGGTCTCAATAGCCATGCAGTAAGCAGTGTTCTATGTGCATGTGATTGAGGGATGGCATGGATATTCAAGTGTATTTGAATGGCATCTGTTTGTTTTAGTCAAGATAAAATATACTTTCCTCAACTATATTTAAGTTCCCTATGAAGAGCCAACCCTCAACTTTGAAAATTCCCACTTTATTCCCATTTATTCCCATAAATTCCTGTTAATTCACTTAAATTCCCATTAATTCCCATGGAAAGTTTCCATCTTTGAAAATTCCCAGAATTTTGCAACCCTAATCATAATAACATAAAAGGTCTCTCACGTAGTTTTGCGCCATTGCTTTGGCAAAGTATCAAACGAACTACATTGAAAGTGTGACATGGCTTTGTGTCGTATCTTGGAAACAAAGATATGTTTCCAAGATATGGAAACATGTCTTTCCATACAGCATATGATTCCAACCATAGTCTCACAAAATCCTCTGGGAAACACTGGATGTTATCCAATTTTTCAGATCCAGGCAGACCCACAAGAAAGTATGACTCAACCTCACCCACTAATCCTTAAGTGGCCTACACTAACTCAAGGTCAACAAGACTTTGAGGACTTACAGTAGCCTACATCAAGAACTCGGTGGTACAAGAGAACATCACAAAAGGCAAAAGCTCATCCCAAGGCATGGCATCTTTGAGGGCGATGCCCCACGCCACTCTACTGTGTGTTCTCTCAGAGACTAGATGCAAGTTGAATGTAATCTGATGCATTGGCTATGTGTTTATTACATTTTTGAAATGATTAGAATTGAACTTCCGATCTAGGAAACCTATGGTGGCTTGAAGATGTCAACACGGTCGAATGCTGCCATCGAAAAATCTTGCATGTCGACATTCTTTCTTTTGTTATCAGAAATGTTCCTTATTCTAATGATTTCTAATGTTCAGAGAGAAACCACTGTCTTTTTTTTTTTCATTGAGGGGGGAGTAATATTATTTTATTGATTTCATTATATTAACAGTATAAGTAAATGATGCTGCTTATACAATGAAACACATAAGGGGAACTTTATTAATGTGAAAATCAGCGGAGCTTTATGTGGAATTATGCAGCTTAGATGGTCATCAGCACTTCCCAGCACAATAATGAAAGGTGTAAATCCTGTTTTGTGATTTTGTTACTTTACCAGCAGAGTAATACCATTATGCAAGACTAGGTTCAGCAGTCAGTGTACTGTAACCATGTGAAATGGAAGTTGTCTACATCAACACAAGAAAACGTACAGTCTAAGGCCAAACTAAAAGGTCAAAATTCTCAAGAAGAAGATCAGGATTTTTAAAGGTGAACTATGCAGGTTTTTTACCTCAACCGAAGAGCTTCGGAGTCATTGGAATGGTTATATTACTCTTTTCGGGTTGAATGGTGGTCGTTTCGCACCCCCCTATCGCATGTGAGTGGAAAAAACACACTTGCAACTTTGAGCCGGCGGGGCGCCGGCCGCAGCATCAGGAAGTGTCACGTGATATCAGGTCTCACGATGTAACGAATTGCTTTACGGCAAAAAAGATCTGATAAAATGAGCATCAAACAGAAATAACCCGGCACCGTATACATGTGGTGTTCGAGGCGCACATACAATACAGACTGCCGACAGTTAAACAGGGCGCGCGCAGCTTTTAAAGGGGCCACACCTTATTTCCACTCGTTACAGCGTCCATCCTACTGAACAGGTACCGGTGTACAGGGGGAGGGGATCAGGCCGTGAGTGCAGAACCTTCTCTGCGTGAGTGCTATTTACAACAGTACAAGTACTCCACAGCGACTCTAGGGGTCGCTGTTTGACAAAAACGGAATTCCTGCATAGTGCACCTTTAAATGATGCATAGTGCTGAATAAAGTATGTTAAAGTCATGACCTTCTAACAACATTACTCGTTCACTCATTTCCTATGAGAAACCACATCACCCAGTGTCATCCTAGATTAAATATCTGTGTCAGTCATTGTTTCAGAGTTCAATACCTGAGCGGTCTCTGACAACCAGGTTTCTGCCTTCCTTTAGATTGATGGTGAGGAGATACTGGACCTTCTGCTGTGTTAGAGCACTTTGACTGTCATGTAACCCTTCTGAGATCTGAAAAGTAGTGTATAAAAGACTTGGTCAAGGCTGGATTATATTATTATCAAGCTTTTTTATTCTGTCTTTACACAACACTTTTTCCATTTAAAATACTCACGTTTCGTTCTTGTTCTGTATCAAAGTCACTGGTTTCATTGAGATTGTCCTGAGGGAGAGATTAAGATGTAAAATGAGAAAGTTCTACATTACTTTGCCTCTGCTATACTCAAATAGAAGGTAAATTGAGGATTTGACAACATGCTTTTTTAATGTCTAATAGCAGAATTATAATTGAAATTTTGCTTAAATTTATTCTGTTTATGTCTCAGGTTTAAATAATAATAATAATAATCCAGATATCTTATGTATTCTCAGACTTTTGGATACATTTGAACATATTTCAGTATGATATCAGCCCTCGGCCACTCTACCCGATAGATATATCTTCAGTCTTTGAAAATATATCGGTCTAATAATTTCATATTAGAGTGGTTTTGGAGATAAAAATCCCAAATTCACCTCGTGTTAATATATTTTAGAATCATAACAAATCATAATAAAGAAGATAATTGGTTTCATTTTATAATTAGTCTACAAATTTATAATATACAGATATGTTATTTTCCACATCTGTACTGAAATTTACAGAACACATATTATAACCCTGGCACCATTTCATTCAAATCACACCCCTTGAATATTAACTATTTTTATACAGTAAAAAATTAATATTATAACAATGTAAAATAAATGTTAATATATTTTAAAACGTAATGTGTTCTTGTGATGGCAAAGCTGTATTTTCAGCATCATTACTTCAGTCTTCAGTGTCACATAATCCTTCAAAAATCATTCTAATATGCTGATTTGCTGCTCAAGAAACATTTCTTATTTTAATCAATGTTGAAACGGTTGCTGTTTAATATTTTACTGGAAAACGTGATACATATCTTTCAGAGTTCTTTGATGAATGCAAAGTTTAAAAGAACAGCATTTGCTTGAAATGTAAATATTTTATAATATTTTAAATGTCAAAAAAAAAAAGATCAAATATTGCTGACTTCAAACTTGTGAACAGTAGTGCATATTGATGTAGTGAAAACTTTTAGATGACTTACCATGTCCTCTGCGGACCCTGCAATGAACATTTCCAGTGGATAAACCTGCACATGCTCAGTAGGAGAAGAGATGCAGGCTTTCTCCTCAGATGGTGTAGTGCAGACTGACTCTGTGTTGGTCCATGTACACATCTCATCTGAAGCTCGCGCAGGAGGCATCTGTCTTCCGGCTCTACTAAGGGCTGCAGCCACTTTATCCGAAGGGTTCTTTGGTCTCTGACCGGGCGATTTCCTCTCTGCAGGCACAGGTGTTATCAGTCTTTCTGTGGGTGGAGGTAAAGATCCAGTCGCTGCATCTAATTCATCTATGTACCATGTCGTGGCTCTTGGCCGCTTATCAGTTTCCATTGGAAGTGTAAAGTCTGCAGGAACTGATTTCTCTGATGGCGCTGGGCTGCAGGAGTATGACCTGTCGGTGACACAGAACTGCTCAGATAATCCAAGACTGGAGGTTTCACTTGCTGTTTCATCCAAGTCACCTGGACCCTCCAGGTTTCCAAAGAAAACGGAGTCTTGACCTGGTGTCCTGGGATCATTTTGCAAAGCCATTCTCAAGGCATGAGGATGAAACCTGATGTCTGGTACTGACATACTCCTCCTGTGTTTCAGCGGGGTCTTCTTCTTCCTCCCCAGACCCTTCTTTCCAAACAGATTTAACTTTGCTCTCTCGCGAAAATTGGGCCAGGCTTTCTTCTTTTGCTCCATTGTGATTGTGGATGAGACTGCACTTCAGCTGAAATTAAACAACTGTCAGGAAAAAGACACGCAATGTGTGTTAGAGAGTTTAAAAGAAAAACTCAAAGTATCACGTTACAAAAGGACAGTTTAAAAAATCTGTAAAATAATGTGAACTTACTCTACAGTCCAAAAGCTTGGGGTCAGTGAGATTCTAAATTTTATTAATATTTTAAATGTTACTGTTATTACTGTATTTTTTATCAAATAAATACAGCCTTGGTGACAATAAGAGACTACTTTCAAAAACATTTAAAAAAAATATCTTACCCCAAAACTTTTGAACAGAAGTGTAGTTTCTAAAAATGTTCTGTTAACTGTAAATTAGCTGGAAAAATTAACTCTAGAGAGGATCATTTAAAGAAAAAGCCATACAGTATATTATTACATTTTTCTTACTGTATATTTGCTCTTATTAAAAAGTTATTTTAAGCACTATATTTTTACATTTTCCTATATTTACTCTTATTAAAAAGTTATTATAAGTACATTATTATTATAAAAACTTTATTATATGCAATTGTATGCAAATCAGTTGTTAATTTTAACCTTTAATATTACAGTACCAAATGACTGGGTTGTGGGTTCCCTCTATAGTTTAACTTTATGGCATTAGTTGAGAGATGTTTTCCTTGAGAAATATGTTCATGTACTGTACCTGATATATATCCAAAAGAATCGATACTGAATCAAATTAAATCTATTCGGAATCTAACCGTAAGCTTAGAAATCGAATCTTGAAATTTGTATCAATGCCGAACCTTAATAAAAACACAGTACCAGTCATAGTAGTTGCCTAGATGAGTTCTGAGAAGGACAGAAAACCTGAAGGATACTGGTCTGTCCAGTGTTGGCTCGAAGTTCATTAAAAAGTATTAATTGACATGAACTAACAATGAGTAATACAAATTATTACTGTATTAGTTAATCTTTGTTAACGACAGCTGTTCATTGTTTGTTCATGTTAGTTCACAGTGCGCTTATGTTAACAAGCACAACAAGCACAATTTGATTTTAATAATTTATTAGTAAATTATGAAATTATTATTAACTAAGATTAATAAATCTGTAGAAGTATTGTTCATTGTTAGTTCATGTTAACTAAGGTAGTTAACTAATGAACCTTATTGTAAAGCGTTACCGTTTTATTTATTAGTCAATAGGTATAATTCCATATTTTAATTAATCGATCAAAGGCTACGGATTAATCTGCGCAATAATCGATTAGTCGATTAACCGACTATCAAAAGAATCGGTCGTTTCAGCCTACTGTAAATACAGTAATGTGCACACCGTACATAAATCTTCTGCTTATTTCATCTAGATATTAAAGTGTTTATTATAATTCCACTTACAGGTACAGTATATAAGACAGAAATCATGTTCATGTTTTTTCTTACAATCGATAAAGCGATGGTTCACCCAAAAAGGACAATTTTATAATTTACTCACCCTCATGTTGTTCCAAACCTGTACACATTTCTTCTGTTGATCACAAAAGAGGATATGTTTAAATTTGTTAAGATATGTTAAAGAATGTTGGTAATCAAACAGTTGACAGCTGCCATTGACTTTCATAGTAGGAAAAAAAAAAACTATGGAAGTCAATGGCTACCTTCAACTGTTTGATTACCAACATTCTTTAAAATATCTTCTTTCGTGATCAACAGAAGAAAGAAACTCATATACTGTAGGTTTGGAACAACTTGAGGATGAGGATTATGACCAAAAAAAAAATCGTTTTAGGGTAAACTATCCCTTTAACACCAACTGGTATTATGCACTGGTGGTAATCTACCCACAGTCCTGTCAGCTTGCGTTTTTGATTACTTGTTAGGGTACATGATCCTCACTTTTCAACAAAGAATATGTAGTGAACTACTGCTGTTTGTAAATGAACGCATGATGTTGGGCCGAGGGAGAAGACCTTCATTTTTAGCTTTCTTTTTGCATTCCCTGAGCAGCTCTGAGCGTAGAACATCTGAAGAGTGTTCAAGTAGATGTTGTACAATGTACAGCATGTTATTGGTGTCCAATCTTGCTCCTGGAGGGCCAACGTCCTACAGTTTGGCTCCAACTTGCCCCATCACACTTGTCTGGAAGTATCGAGTAATCCTGAAGACCTTGAATAGCTGGTTCAGGTTTCTTTTGAATAGGATTGGAGCTTAACTCAGCAGGACAATAAGCCTTCCAGGAGCCGGATTGGACACTGCTCTTCAGGTGAAACCGCCAAAAAACACAGATAATATCAAGGGTTCACACTTTGACACGAAAGAGTGTGTATGTAGAGAACAATGGCACACGAGTCAACTGCAAAGTATGCAGAAAAAGTGCTTGTTACATTGTCAACTTGCAGACCATGCCGCTGTCTTTGTGGTCAAACTGTGATGTTTCTCATAAAATGGTCACACATCTGAAGACTATAACATGCTTTCCATGTCTAGATCAGCAAGCACAGAAGTGTAAAAAGTACTGAGAATGTTTTTTAGTCATGGATACTGAAAAGTAAAACTTGAGTAAAAGTTTAAAAAGTCTCTGCCATTTAATTATATTTAGGTATAATACCTTTTATTATACACATATAAAGTAAAGGTTTTGAAAATGATAACTTCAAGAGATGGAGGACATGTATTCATTAAAGTAAGTTTGAAATGCAACCCATATCATAATTTCCTCAGAACACACCAGATTTTAAAGTAAGAGTCTTGACTGAAATTAATTCAGCAGCAGCTTCAGCATGGAGGAGAGTAAAAGTATAGGATTTTTGTCTAAATGAAATTGTATGTAGCAAAAATTAAATGTACATTTTTAAGAATAATCAAATTGGCTGTGCAAGTAATTTCAGCTAATTTTTTTTAGCTATATTAGTCTTTAAAATGGAGTTGAACTATTTACTTAAAAATTTAAATTTAAAATAGTTTAGTTTATTCTTTAGATGAGTGATGGAGGAAAGAAAGAAATGCCATTGTTCTGACATTTCTAAGGCAAAAATGGTTGCCATGACTTCTTCGGATCATATCATTGTTACAGTGTATCATTTTTGCCTTAGAAATGTAAACACAAGGGTTTTAGTTTCAACAGTACTTCTTTAGAACAAATTTCCAAAAATACACTCCACACACAGCAAAGCATACCAGAGACTTTCTATAAATCTCTTTTGTCAGCAACAGTTGAAATGAGAAATAAGAATATAGAGTATATATATGAATACACATTCTTTCTCTGTACAATAGTTCACAATTATGAATTTGATTTCACCATATAATGTTACTACGGTCTGAATGTTCTCGAGGTGTGTACCTTGTTTTCAGAGGTGTGTTAGGCTGGTTTCTACGTGTTGATGTAATTGGCAGCTTAAATTATTAGGACAATTCGACAATTTACAGCAAAAAGAAAGTTTGAGATTCTATCATTGCTGCAAATAGCTAAATATTCAAGTAGGCACACTGAAGTAGATCAGTGATTTACATCAACAACATCTGTAGCAGATGTATTTTGACAGAATGTTAGCATGAAAAAAATATTTGACGAAGAGGACTAAGCTCTTACCTCTTTCCAGATGAACTACTGGACGTGTTTTCTTGTAGAAGACATGACTGAAAACTGCAGCAAGTTTCACATCATCTGTAAGTGTCAGTAGATGTCTTCAGAGAGATATTTCTGCTTGGACCGGTTTGCCTCTCCAGGGCGGAGTTATGAATAGTTTTGCAGAAGTTATTACCGGAGATTCAGGTTGTTAGCGTGCATGCACTACCGTACAATGCATTGTTTGTTTTCTTCCTAGATACTTTAAAATCCTTTTGCTTGCATTCTTCCTAGATACTTTAAAATGCTTTGTTTGCATTCTTCCTAGATACTTTAAAATGTCAATGAACACTAGGGGTGTTCGTTGACATTTTACGCTTTGTATGTAGGCCTATAATTTGGTTGGTAGCGGGGTTTTTTGTTTTTACCTAAAATATAATATCTGAAATAACTTTTTCCTTTCCTATGCTTCTTGGGATTGAACTTGCAATGCTTAGGATCGTTATTTCCATTTCCTATTGGGTTTGGTTCAGTGCCACCTGCTGGATCGTTTTCATATTGCATGTAAATGTGTCAATGACGTAATGATTATATATAATATATATCTTTTTATGTCCATTTAAAATGCAGAAACCTTAAGAAAATGTATTGACACTTGTAATTCAAAAATGAATTAATAAAAAGCATTTACCTTCAATATTAATGACACTTTTTTATTTTTATTAAATTTGCACACAAGTTTTAGCCTATGTTTTATTTTTAATATATATATATATATATTTTCAGCTTGTTTGAATAATTTCACAACTTGAAGAGCTATACTTCACAACTTTGTATAGTCTATTAAATTAATCATATAAACAAATACTTTTTTATGTGACTGGTAATGACTGTTTTTTAATGACTGTTCTTGAATGTCTATTTTCTGGTATATGTGTTTCATAAAACCCTAAACTAGTTCATGGGCAAAATATTACCCAACTTCTACACTGAAGTTCCATGTGCACTGACTGTGTGTTTCTCAGAGATGCAGTATGAAGGCACATAGAGTGAGGATTTGAGGGTACAATGAGGTTTTTAATAAAGCGGACAGATTCTAATGTTTGGGACTTCACATGTGGACAAAGTCTACTCAAATTCAAAGAATTGTTCACTTCAGTTTGCACAGAATAAGCGAGAGAACCTATGTTACACAATAAAAGCCAATATCTTTACTTTAGTGAATGCAGAATACAAATTTGTACAACAATCTCTAGCATAATATCTTAGTCATTCAATAAAAAGTTCACTAGAATATTTATTGTATAATGAAGATAAAACAACACATTCAAGGGAAATATAATGCAGATTAAAGTTCTCTCATGTTTTACACTTTTTTTTTTTTTGTCCTTTTTTTTAAATCATTTTTGAAACATCTTGTTTCAGTTATGGCAACAAAGTCCAGCTTGTGCCGCCAAACGGTTTGAGCGTCCAAACCGCAAACAGCTTCTTGAAGTGAACTAGTAACTACAAACAATTACCAAATACATAATTCTGATTTAGAAAAGCCATAAAGCAAAGCAGTGTACTCTTGCACAGCAAAGTGAAGAAAGTAAGCAACAAACAGTTGTTGTTTCCTCTTTATCCTTTCCTTTCACATTCAACAGTTTGTGACACAGCACTCCGCACCAAAGGATCGGCCTCCCCCCTTAGATCTCTTATGTATTTCTCATGTGCATTTATAGGGACCCCTGACGCGAGGGTGATTTTGTTTCGATGAATTCAAAATGTGATGAGTGACATCAGATTTGATTCGGAACACTAGCAACTCTTTGGAATAAGGCTCTAATTGTGCATGTAGCAGAGAAACTCCCTGATTCCTAATCAAGCACTAATGTTGAGTGTTTGTGTGTGCATTCACCGCGGTACGAAAATCCTGCATGTTTTTAATCCTCAGTGCTTTCAGAACACTGGGCTGGCATTATTGCTTGTCTACCCTGAAAAGCTTTGAATGATTTTGACAGACATCATAGAAGTTTCTAATGGGTTTCCAAGTGTTTCAGTTCAGCTGAGACAACAAAGCTCGTACATCTGAGATTAAATCTAAAGCTATACCTAAAGCAGTGTTTGCATGGCTCTTGTGGTTGTCATATTTAAGTCAGTGTGCCTTTATATGTAAAGTTAAAGGGATAGTTCACCCAAAAATGAGAATTCAATTCATGAATATCAATGGGGTCGATACTGTTTTGGGCCCCATTCGCTGTAATTGCAAAAAAAGTTGAAACATTCTTTAATATATCATCGTCTGTGTTAAAAGTCATACAAATTTGGAATGACTTGAGTAAATGACGACAGAATTTTTCGGTGAACTATCTCTTTAAAATGCAAGCACTTAAGGACAAAGGGTTAACAGTCATTTTCTCATTCATCAACTAGGCAACGTTGTATGATTAATGGGTATGTGGTAATATAATATGCATGATTTTATTTTTTTCTTCTCTCGATTTACATTTTATTGGATTTTTTTATTAAGAATTCCACTTTCAATGTGAATGCTTTGTGCTCCTGGCTATGTGTGGGTTGGGGACTGCATAGATTAATATCAGCTTATTGCCAGTTGCTGTGGTGCTCAAGAGGGCAGGGAGGATGCGCACACCGACCGAATACATAACAAATCTGAAGAGGAGAGCATCCCATGGCAAACTTTTTTTTGTGCAATCCAGTACAGATATCATGTCCAAGCTTGTTTGCATTGTCTAGTATTTCCATCTTTAGCTGCTGAATCCCCTGACGCTTTGCCACCTGAGGGGCAGTAAGGTGTGATGCAAGCCAGAGGCCACAAACAAACAGCCGCACATGAAGAGCCCCGCGACAGGGGGGGAGATATGCACACAGAGCGAAACGCGACGCCGGAGAAAGCTACAGCACCCCCTCTTGTCCAGCAATACAGAACCGATGCCTCCTTAAGGTGTCTCTCCTTTACATTAGGAAATCTGTAGATGAGCCAATTCACAAAAGAACTTGAAAGGCGTTCTGTACATAGTATGCATGTATGTGTAAGGTAGGGTTACTTAAAGATATGGTATTTACAATTTCGGAGGAATTCGGTTGAAATGAATTTAACAGGGTTTCAACAAAACGAGCTTTCTTTACAAACTGCGGGGACGTCTGTAAAGAGAAATGTGTCTTGTACTGGATATCGATGAATAGTGCATCTAAGCTGTGATGGGTTAAAGTAGGCAGTGTATTCGGCAGCTGCAGGCTAATCCCTCACAAAACAGTTGTAACCATATTTTTTTCTTAGCATGACGAGTATCGTTTTACAAAACAAAATAGACACTTAAGCCTGAATCATACAGCTCTGTTGTTACAATTTCTTATGGACAGACATTCACCACCATTAAAGGGTAAACGACCCAAAAATGACCTTCTAGGAAAAAAAAAACACTTTGAATATTACCAGTAATAGTCAGATTTGAAGAAAGTACAGTATAGTTAACAAAATAGTAAATATTAACCAGTGAATACTCTACTTAATAAGGATCTCGCCTTGTAAACTTGGCAGTAATCCACAAAAATATACTTTTTCTTGAATCTGGTGAAGGTACAATACATACGTACTTACACCAAAAGTGATATATATTAAAGTTGCTATGTACATAACAAAAGAAAAAAAAAAAAGGTTTGGCTCAAATCTTTAATTTACAAACAGAACAGCAAGTGTTCATGGCTTTAGATATCGTTTCAAGATCTGCTTTGCATGTTAATCGTTTTCCAAGGTTTGTAACAATGCACACTATGACAGAACTAATATGAAACAAACATCGAGAGAGAAATGCTGAAAATTCCCAACCTACAGTACGACAAAATTACATAGAGGCTTTGGCTTGCGTTACCATTGAGTTGTTGGAGCTGCATGAATGTACAAATGACGGCTACCTTTTCTCTTCCTATTTGTTAAAAACACCAACAAAAAAAAGAATTTATAATAGAATTGCTGACCATTATCAATTTGGAGACATTTTCATTTCTTTGACTTAATGTCTGAACCGAGGTGAAATGTGATATCATTTTAGATACAAGCCTTCCCTCGTAAAACTGATCCGAATCTATCATCAAATACCTTTAAATAAATTAATAAGTGACATACTTCATATAAGGGCGAGTGCAGATACAGATTGTTTAATACATGAGCCCAACAGGCAGGAGCCTTCGAACAGAAAGCCGCCCCTAAACTTTCTTTGATTGTTTGCAAATTCAACAGCGAAAACAGCTACAAGTGTCAAACTGCACCAGTGACAACAATTATCGAAATGTTTTCTTCATACATTGGACTATCGCACAATGCAATTTGCATCAAGTACCTGATAACACCTGTTTTTTGAGTACACCATTCATTCTGACTGCTCGACTTGAGAATTTCTCTCTCTCTCCTCACATCTGTTAAATTTCAATATGTCAGGACATTTTCGATTTCTTTCCCCATCCACCTACTTACAAAAAAAAGTGAAATGACATTAAATTATATCAATAGAATAATAACAATAATGACCCTCCCTGCTGTCACTCCTCTCTCCCTTTCCCCCTGCCCAGCCCTGCGTGTGACTGACTGGCTGTCAAGCTCCAGACAGCTTTATGTCACCCAGGTGTCCATGCGCATGCGCTTGACCGTGGGGCTCTCTCTCTCCTCGCCCCCGGCGGCGGGGGGTCGGCCCAGGCCGAGGGGAGAGTGGAAATCAGGCCGGTGATCCTCTCGGTCGCTTCCATCGTAGGAGGAGCAGGAGGAGCTGAGGCTGTCGACGGGCGAGCGGCCCATGTCGGGACGGCCAGAGGGAGCCTGTTGCTGCTGCTGATGCTGCTGCTGTTGCGGGAAGCCGGACGGGGTCACGCGCTCACGTGGAGGAGAGATGGGCTCTGATTTAATGTTGACATGCTGGCTGGTGTTGATGGAGAGATTTGAGCCCTGAGGTAAGTGGCCACCTCTGAACAAAGAGTGGAAATGACAAAATGACAAATTAGTGCAAGTGTAAAAACGGTAACATTTTACAATAAGGTTTCATTTGTTAACATTAGTTAACATGGACTAAGAATGAACAATACTTCTACAGCATTTATTAATCTTAGTTCATGTTGATTTCAACATTTACTAATAGATTATTAAAAAATCAAAAGTTGTATTTGTTAACATAGTGCACTGTGAACTAACTAACAATGAACAACTGTATTTTTAATTAACTAATGTTAACAAGGATTAATAAATACCGTAACAAATGTATAGGTCATTGTTAGGTAATGTTAGTGTTACCCATAAAGACATGTATATGAATATGAACTCAACAGCAACTATGTGACGCTAAAATAGAGACCCATATAGTCCTATAATAATAATATCCCACCCTCCATCTGTTTACTCAATGGCGCTTGCAGCAATAACAGCACCTGAATCATTTTAGAGGGTGGTATCTAATTAGAGCATGCCTGGCAGAATGTGTCAAAAACAGTTCACTAATGTTTTGATGGCACAACCACTGCGTTTAAATTAAAGCTTTCATTCACAGGCTCTGGAAACCTTTTAGATTCTTTTTATATTCTTTGTATCTGTCTGTGAGCAATGCACTCTGCTGTTACAGTGAAACTGTACAAACATATAATTATATAAATATATAGCGCTGCACAACTCAGTTGTTTTGTTATCTATCTATATATCTATCTAAAAAAAGAAAAGAAAAAGAAATTGCATTTTGCATAAAGAAAAAGAAGCCTATTTTATGACATTTAAGATTCATGGTGACATTCCTTTCATAATAATTAAGCATGTTTTCCCTGTCATTATGTGTCTTGATGTCGTACCATTTTTAAATGTAATTCCCATTATTATTCTTTCTTATAATTATTATTTAAATTAGTATAAATACCATCTTAAAAATCTTAAAGTCCAAAAAAAATTATTATTTTATTTGGTCTAAAAGCAAAGTGTGTAATTTTTGGGCCTTTTCTGCAAAAAATTTAATAAAATAAAAATATTTTTCATAAAAAAAAAACGGAACATCTCTAAAACAAGATGCATTTACTTGAGAAGCACAATGACACAAGATATTAAGATATCACCTTTTTTTTTTTTTTACAGGAAAACATAACAAAAATCAGCCCAACAGATAGTCCCACCCAAACCTCATGGCACTGGTTTGTCTCTAGTATTATAAAATAAAATAAAATACTTTAAAATAACCATGCAAAATATGGTTTTATACTTTTTTCTTTTCATTTTTAGAGTGAATTATGACCTGGGCAGTGGGCATCCATCCATCCTTCCATTCCACTCTCTACAAAATAAAAAATGAAAAAGTATGGAAACTAAGAATGCATTTGAACTCATGCCCTGGCACATTAGTTAGTATTTTGCAAACCTGTGTGTGTGTGTGTGTGTGTGTGTGTGTGTGTGTGACTGCACACATCTATGTTACTCACACCAGCGAGCTGAGAGCTGCCTGGCCCAGTTGATGCTGTTGCCATGCCGACATTGAGCCTATAGAGAGCCCTGGAGAGCCAAAGCCTTGCAGAGAGGAGAGCTCAGCACTGCTCAGGGAGTATTCTAGAGCAAAACAACACACAACAATCAACAACAGAGTTTATGAGTCACTCAATCACCTCTGCGCTCACACTGTAGAGCCTTTCAAGTATTTGTGTTATGTTTATTATTTAGCTCAGAGCTGGATGGTGTCATGAAACGTAGGGTCTTCCTCTTTTTATCAAGCCACTCATAGATGAATTAAAAGTAAAATCAAACCATGAATGAATGAATACATTACAATTATTGTAGGAGTGTGTGTTTTCTACTCACCAGAGTTGTAGGCAGTGGGCATGCCTGAGTAGACCAGGCCTTGTGGTGGCAGACTCGGGGTGGTGACGGAGACCACCGGTGTGGCCAGAGCCTGGGAACTGCTTATCCTCTGAGTGTTCTGCACACAGGACCACATACACAAAGTTAATGAGATAGAAATCCCATCACAGACAAGCATGCATACTCTATCCAACCATGTGAAGCACTGTCATTAGAATTGTGTGGTTTGGTGGAAATTAAGTGGTAATACCATTTTACACCAGTAAGAGGCGCTGCAGATTCATTCTAGAAAGAAATCAAATTGTTTTGCAGGATGCTGTCAGTTAAACAGCTTTAATTCAGAAGCCCCTGGTCAATATAAGAAAATATCATATATAATTAAGACATCACAGAATGCCTTAAACATGTGGTATACCTGTATATCTGTAAACAAGCTCACTGCAAAGTTGTGCTAAGGAATATACAGTGATCTGTGTTGACTTAAGCACAATAATATAGAAAATCCACACACAAACAGTCATTGACAAGAAAAACCAAACTTTCTTATGAAATAATCAGGTTTATCTAAGATGCTTCTACTAAAATACCTTAAAACTAAAAACAATGGTTGACATAGTAAGAGTATAGAGCTATACAATTAATAGGAAATGGTAGAATTTGCTGAGAAATATTTGAGTTCATTGAAAAGAGTTTGATTGAAGACTATCTTGATAAAGCAGTTTGAGACATGAGATAAATGTGGTCTTTTTCTCGAGAGACTTAAGGAAACGTCTTGAATTGCACTCCATTTAATGCCACTGCTGTCTAGGAGACACAACTGATATTAATATTACTGATATTAAAGAGAGTTTATTTACTGGATCCGAAAATGTGATGCACTGAATAAGGTAAATCTCTTATCCAAATAGCATCCAGCATGCAGTGAAATAATATAGTCACCGCAAGCCAAACGTGTGGACATGCAGTGTGGACACACAAACACACACACACACACACACACGCATACTGGGTTTTCATGTTTTACGGGGACATTCCATAGACATAATGATTTTTATACCACACACACATATTTAATTCAAAGCAATTGTGCTCAGTTTTACATTAGCCGAGGTAGATGAATATTCAATCTACATACAGAGTTTGAGATGGACATTGCATAGTCTCTCAACTAATGTGGAATGTAGATACTACTGTACAATATTGAAAGACCACTGTTCTGTAGCATTTCAATATTTTTAAATGCATTCACATTTGTTTCATTTGCTAGTGAAAATATGTTCTCTGACAGCATTTGGCGTTCTCCTCAACTGATGTCATCATTTTGGACTCAACTCCATTTTAACAACATCATCATAAGTAAAGCAATCACTGCCCAGGCCAAAAAAACAAGAAACACAAGAGAATAAGAATTTGGGTAATACTCAAATATGTTGACTGCTAGAACAATGTTTTATGTGGATTGTGTTTCTTAAAATTTAGCTTTGATTGATCAAAGCTTTTATGTTGCGTTCATAATAAAACTAATACCAGACTTATTGGTGAGGTCTTAGGCAAATATGAAATAATTACTAATGATTGCATCTTTGGGGATTCTGTGGATTCATCATTTTCCTTTTCTTCTTCAAATACACCCACAACACTCTTTCTTTAGCACAAACACGCATTTCGGAACATACTGTGGCTCTTTCAAACTTCCTTAAAAAGGCTCAGTACATGCAGTGTGAGTCACACACAACGCAGACCAGACATCCACACAACACTCATGAGTTTATCCAGTTCAGGTTGGGTTTAGTGTATCTTTACGCAAGCAGTGGAATCATCTCACTAAGCTGTGCGGCTCTGCTAGTTAAAGCAGTGTGATTTTAAAACCCTGTATCAGTCTTCCCAAGCCATTCTGTGAAACTCACCAACTCCATCTCTTCCTCCTCCGACTGCTTCCAACAGAAAAGAGCAGACGAAGCGGTCAGTAAAGAGCCAGGTGGCACACCTAAAGCTGAGCAGGGTCAACCCCCCGTTCTCACCAGGACGTGCCTTTAAACTAACTTATTCAAATTCAGAGACTAAAGCGTGAACCGAACGCTGCTTCAGGTTACTTGCAATAAAACTGGAAATTCAAATTCGGAGTCAAATTCAAATGAAAAGTCAAATTTGTTGGCACTAAATACACAACATTTTCATTCCTCATGGCCATGTGGGTTTGAACGACACAGCAATTAGGTGTGAAATGCTAAACAAAGGGAGACTAATCGTGGAGTAAGGGACAAAAAGTAGTGGGGTTTTTAAGTCCTTAGGGGAAAAAACAATCATTGAGAAGCTTGACCTCACAGCTAGGATGCGCTTAACCCTTCACCTCAGACACTCATCCATACATGAGCTTGTGTGTCCAATAGCTCCATCAATCATTTTGCTTTCATTGGCACAGTCCTCCACTTGATTTAATTGATTATTTACCAGAGTGGAATAGTAAACACTAGGTTAAATGAGAACGAGAAAATGTAGCTAAGAACTCGTGAGAATATACTGTAAGAACTACATTTTACATATGAACAGGCATGTCATATTTATTTGTAATAGAATAATGCATTTTAAATAATATTTATTCCTAATTTTTATTAATTAAATTGGATAAATTATATATATATATATATATATATATATATATATAGACAATTAGCTGGAAATAAGTTGTAATACATACAATATATAGAGCCGGTCAAAAGTCCAAAAAATGTATGTCTTTGAAAGAAGTCTCGGTAACACTTTACTTGAAGGGGTGTGCATAAGACTGACATGACACCTTCATAATCATGACACATGTCATGAATATGAAGGAGATTTTATGCATGTTTATGACGACTGTCATTAAGTGTCATTCGCTCAATTATGACATTTTTAGTTGTCATAAACATGCATAAAACCTCCTTCATATTCATGGCATGTGTCATGTCATGATTATGAAGGTGTCATGTCAGTCTTATGCACACCCCTTCAAGTAAAGTGTTACCGAAGTCTCTTATGCTCATCAAGCCAGCATTTATTTGGTAAAAAAAACAACAACAAAAAAAAAAACAGTAATATTGTGAAATAATATTACAATTTCAAATAATGGTTTTCTATTTTAACACACTTTAAAATGTAATTTATTTCTGTCAAAGCTGAATTTTCAGCATCATTACTTTGGTCTTCAGTGTCACATGATCCTTCAGAAATCATTCTAATATGCTGATTTGATTATTATCAATGTTGGAAACAGTAGTGCTGCTTAATATTTTTTTGGAACCTGTGATACTTTTTTCAGGATTTAATTATGAATAAAAAAGTTACAAAAAAAGCATTTATTTAAAATAGAAATATTTTCTAACAATATAAATCTCTACTATAACTTTTTATCATTATAACACATCCTTGCTGAATAAAAGTTGTTGTTGTTGTTTTTTTAATTTACTGACTTCTTAACGGTAGTGTATATTGTTACAAAATATTTCTATTTTAAATAAATGTTGTTCTTTTTAAACTTTATATTCATCAAATAATCCTAAAAAAAAAATCATTATAAAACAGCAGCACAACTGCTTAATAAGCCAACATTTATAATAAATCATATTAGAATGATTTCTGAAGGACCATGTGACACCGAATACTGGAGTAATGTCATCACAGAAATAAATTATATTTTAAAGTATATTCAAATAGAAAACGATTATTTTAAATTGTAATATTTCACAATATAACTGTTGTTTCTGTATGTTTGATCAAATAAATGCAGGCTTGATGAGCATAAGAGACTTCTTTCAAAAACATTAAAAATAGTAATGTACAACTTATTTCGAGCTAATAGCAACTCCAAATTGCAAACCTAGATTTTTCCCCCCTGCTCTCTCTCTCTCGCTCTCTCTCATTATATCTTTGCAAAGTGCTAGTCAACTCCGTAATTCACAGTTTCTCTCGATACTTTTGGCCCAAATGTAACCAGTTTTCTTCTTCTTTTTCACTTATTTATGGCATTAGGGTGTCTGTTTTTGCATATGTATATGCATATCCCTTTGTTCAAAGCTAGCTGACAGCATAGAGTTGTATTGTACTGAGGACGCTGAGCTTTCTTCTCAGTAGTGCCAGACCAGTGCTGTCTTAATACCAGCACTCAATCAATAACAGTGGGGAGACACGACAAGGGCGACAAGATATTATCTGGCTCACACTATGGGCTTCTGATTAAGCCTTCATCCCCACTCTGTCACACTGCGATGTGATTAATTTAATACCATTATGTTCTAATGACAGCCTGTCTGCAGGCACACTCACAGGCTCTGCCTTAGTCTGTCTGTCTGAGGCAGTTCATTCACACACACACACACACACACACACACACAAAAGGACACTCACCATAAACGCAAATGTACACAAATGAATAATGCTCTGGGCTTCTTACTACTGATGACTTCAGATGCCACGAGCTTGGCATGTGGGATTTGTTTTGATTCATGGTGGGTAAGAAACTGTACCGCTTCCAGATGCTGGCGTGGTGTTCCATACACTCGCATGCATATGTATATATTTACAGCACTGAGCTAAGAGAGCCCTGCGTAACCCCAACTCTATTTACCAAGCAAGATTCTGTACACGCGCAGTGCTGAAGAAACCCGCGCAGCTTCGACAGCTGAAACGAACTAATTATTGACCATATTTAAATATAATAATAATATTCTTTATTTCTGCTTCCCATTTTATGTTGTGGTGATTAATGAGGCTGACAGCCGGGTATAGCCTCAGGTGCTGAATGTGGCCAGAGCTCTCTGCACCTTAATTATAATCATTTGAGAGGCCCTCTAATTTCTAGATGAATAATAGAAGGAGTGAGGGTACCTGGATCTTAGATATTTCGCTCCGTTGCTCAGCTTGTTGTGTAGCGGACACCGTTTCAGTTTAATTTCACTGTCAGCGAACTGATCTAAAGAGCATAATTTCACTCAAACGCTTGCGCGTGCTGATCAACATTGATTTGGAGCAACAATCTTGTGGATGTGTGAATGTAGAATCAATTCTTTTATACTCACCAGGGGTGGCATCATGCCCTTGCTGGATGCGGGGATGACGACTCTCAAGTCTGGCTTGCGGCTACCGATGCCCATGTTGCCCCCCGGTGGCGGCGGTGACTTCGCAGGCATGACTTTACCCAGTCCGTTCCCGCTGGGTGTACCCAGAAGCCCCGGCGAGCCCCTCGGGTTAACAAAGCCGTTTCCTGCTGAGACACACATATGGGCGAAAAGCATCATGGGATTGTGCTCTAATCAACCAATCCCCAACAGCCATCAGTCGATCGGACGACATGCCATTTTCCCAGCTGCAGTCGTAGAATCTCATAGCACGCAACGTTAAGTGTTCCCGACCCTCTGGGAAAGTTCTAGTAATTATCCCACACATTAACGAAAATAAAACATAAATTTTGAAATTGATGAGCCTTTGGTTCTGTTGGTGTACAATGGCGTCAAAGCTGTTTTCGTGTGTCCCAGGATGAGAAAAGCAATTCAGTTTAACAAATGTAGTGTGACTTGAGCTCTTTAAGAAGGAATGGCTAAAGTCATTACAACTGAGTGCAGCCATTCACTACTATCAAAGGCAATTAAAGTGCCATTTTGGAGAACAAATCTTAAAACTTTGGTGGAGTGTCAATGGTATGTTTACATCTGCTGTACTTTGCCGTTCCTAGTTCGAAACTGAACTACAGACACTTTTATTTGGAACTTTCTCCTGCTGAACTAGAGCAAACGGGATGCATTCAAAAATGTGCATGCTAAATGTTTGCACATGCGGCAATGACCCCAAAAAGCACAAAGAGAGGAACCCAGTGTGACTGAACGGCAGTCTGTTGAACATCAACAATAAATACTGAAAAGTTTGTGCGCGGATGATGTCATCACATGAGAACGAACAGGCAAATCCATCAAGTCTGCACCTGACTGACCTCACACCCGTATACTATATATATATTGCGGGTTTCTGGTTTCATGTGAACTTCAGAGTTTTACAAAGATGTCTTTCTACCATCTGCTGGCTCACATTGTTAGCAAGTTCCTTCACACAACCATCTGAAATATTCTCTAACAATCGCGGGTCATTTACTCACACAATGTGTAACCTCCAAAGACAAACACAGGAATTACAATTGGCCGACACTCAAACCCAAAAGCACAATTGCCCCTAAGGTCTCGGTTTCAATGTTTTCTCTCGTCAGTATGAAAAATGCTGAGCAACTAAACAACAACCATCAGGCAAACAAGTGCAATTTCTTCTGGTTTCGAGAAAAGGTCCATTTCATTTCCATTTGTTTGGAACTGTGCATACAGCAAAGTGCAATGTCATTTCCATGTGTTTTCTCCATAACAGCAGCTTGATTAAATGTTAGTCATGGGGCTTTTTCTGCCCCCCACCCAAAGCTCATTTCCTGTGGGACAGCGAGAGAGAAGGCCATCATCTGAGAGACAGAGAGCAGAGACCTGCACTTACTGTGTGTCTCTGTTAAAACACACCTCTGCTGAGAGGGACATACACACGTAATGCTCTTTTTTTGGTTAAACAATTGAGAGAAGTGTGTTCGGGAAAATGATCCAAGCGAGATTTGAACTAGGATCACCCGCACATAACATGTCGGCGCAAGTGCACCACTCAACAGGTCACGTCTCAGACAACTTCCAAGATTTGATTCTCAGATTGTAAGAGAATCTCAGTTGAAGCTACATCTGCATGCAGTTATGTGTGTTCACTAACTTATAAAACTCAATGAATATCACCCATCTAACTTGGAATAGCAAACAAAAGCAAACTTTTTGCAGGTTGTAATTAAAAGCTGCATCAGCCGTTTCATCAATTGACAAATAAATACCTTTCATGAAACTTGGCAAGTATAACATTTATTCATTGTGCAGATGCTCTTATCCAAAGTGACAAAGAAAATTAAGGAATAATTCAACACAAGTGGAAGCAGCAATACATAATGCATACATGAGGACAAACAGAAATATAATACACATTTAATGCACTTACAGATATCTTGTATATATATATATATATATATATTGCGTATAAATATATATATATATAATTAAATATAATAAAATGATATAATCTGCAATGCATTATGTAATACTTTGATGACTTTGATGGCTACTATTCTAAATGAGGAAAACAGTACTTAAAAATGAATGCGTCTTAATTTTTGGATGCTACTGTGAATGTTAATTCAATTGACAGGAAATATACGATGAATGTGAGTACTGGAATGTGTGAACCTGCAGTGAGAGGGAGTAAAATATCTTGTAATTACTGTAAAAGAAAAGCACAGCGCCAGTGCATTTCTCTGATAATGATCAAAAGGAGGGAGGATGATATCATTACGTTGAAATGCTCCCAATTTCTGAAAAAGGCGCCTGTTCTCAAAAAGGCGGAATGTGTAACTGAGGCCCTACTGAGACATAAGTTGCTCTCATTCTGAGCTGTAAGCAGTGTCCCCACCCCTCTTGCTCTTGAAACACCATGTCTATGTAAGTCCCACATTGAATCCCCTCATACCCAACAGAGTGAATCCAGTGTCACAATTCCTAAATGAACACATAATACAGAAGAGTAATGCCTTATTACATTGCTGTCTTGAACAATGCTGCTTACCCTCATAAAATAAGTCTCTCGCTCAGCTCTGAGTAATGCATGATCCTTTGGGAGCACGGTTACATAATGACCCGCTTTTACAAAACAAATAAATTTGTTTCTTTTCAGAGCAAGGCTGTTTTGATAAAAAGAGCACCAGATAAGTCCTAACCATTTATAAGTCATCATTACCTTGAGCAACATGGTGTCTTCAAAGGGGCAAAGTATGCATGAATGAGAAAAGACTAATGGATTTCAGAATCAAAGCTTCGCCTCCCTAATAGATTAAGAGGAACAGAGTCCAAATTCTAATTATAGTCTTAATTAATGAGGCTGAACAGTACCTCTTTAACGGGTGCAGCCATATTGTTTTGGCTCCGGAAATCATGCACAGGAACAATGTGAGCTGGGAAAAGAGTTCCAACTGCTGGTGCCAAAAAATCCAATTCATATTTTACTTGGAGAACCCTTTTGTACGAAAAATAAATATCATTTGTTATGCCTCCATGAGGAATCTGAGGGGAAAAAAAAGAAAAGAAAAAAAGGCCAGTGGCACTGGAGCGGGATGGCGCCGTGAACCTCAAGATATAGTAAAGTAACTGGCACATAAGCGCTCTTTCGAGGAACCAGCCTATAATTCCTCAGTATTAATGAAGGAAGCTGTGCCGCTTCTAGGCACATTGCATAACAGAGATACAACTCCAAACAAACCCTCGTTTTTAACAGAGACGGTCCCGAACGGCCCAAAAGCACATCTGTGCACGCTGCGTTGTCCTCAAAACTGAATTCGAGATCGCCTCCAAGATCGGCTCATCAGATTGCTAATTGGTGCTTATCGAAACACGTATCATGTATTTCTGGAAACATTACGTTTGCATCAATTCCTGTTTGTGCATGATCACGCATTGTGAACTTTGGCATAATCTGCAAAGCTGAGAGTTTGCTCTTGTCAGCTTGAACAAGGTGTCTTTAACACTTCAACTAGTAGTGCCAAATTGTTTGCAATAATCTAATTGAATGTGTGGGATCTGCTCTTCTAATGTATCAGCCACACTTCTGCGATCCCATGATGAAAGCACGTCTAACTTTACAAGACTTCATATCGTTTCACTTTTAATTAAATTAAGATAGTTGCTAAACCAGCAACTTCGCTGCTTGAACACACTGAATACAAGTCAATTTAACTATTTTATATTTAACACTCTACTATTATTAGAAAACACAAGTTTCTTACATGTTCAGTACTGGCAGTTATCCAACTCTGAAGCACAAACACTTTGACAGACCTAAGAAGTGGTGCTGTTAAGATGGAGATGATCGAAAGATATCTCGGATCAAAAGAGACACACAGCATCAAGGACTTGTTCACCTTCTAGAGTTGAGGGCTCTTCAGCCATAAGTGATTTGTGCTGGGCTGTCTCCCTTCTTTCTTTACATACACACAAATAAGCACATGGGACCTGTGCTAAAGGATAAGACAGGTGCTGAAGTATGTTGGGACAACTGTCAAAAAATTGAACTAAATCTTGAGGGTACTGTCTGCAGGACTGATAATGCCATACAAGAGCCGTCAGTTGCTTCATTCAAGCTTTAAATGTACTAAACTTGTGAACTGTACAGCAAATAAATAGATAAATACATACAATAATTTAAAAATATATAATAATGTAAAAATATATTAAATAAAACAAAATTAAATGTAATTAATTAAAATTACATAATAAAATAAAATGAAATAAACAACAAAATGATGTTATACTTTGTATAATGACTGCTAAAGACCGGGTCTGGTTCGATTTGAAAAATCCACCATGTGGGAAGAGATATTTTTCTCTTGCGTCAACAGAAAAACAGTGCCAAAGATTTGTTAGTCAACAACGAGATCTGGGTAATTTGACAGAAACTAGGCCTTCTGTTCCCCGTCAACAACAAAATAAAATCTGAAACGAAGACGATCCGAAACCAAATATTCAGCTGGAAGCGTGCAGAGCTTCCATCTCAGAGAACTCTGAGAGGAAACTAAGCCATTTTGTTTCACAGTGCTGATGATTCATCCTGACCTCCAGCAACTGTACATAGTTAGGTAACACCGAATTGCTTCAAAAGAGAAAGAATCGTGCTACAACACGAGCCTGATATTTCACAAACAAAAAGATTCATTTGCACCCCAGCTGGGCATGTCAACATGATGAAAAAGATTTTTTTTTCCCTGAAGAGGAGAGCCGGTGTATGTGCTTGGATTATAGTTTAGATCCTGTTCACTATTCCTTTGGCTTAACTGGTGATCAGAGCATTCCGCTGAACTCATTCAGGCAATATGAGGTCGCTCTACACAGGGGAAAGAGCAGAGGAAGTGTGCTGAGAGCTGCATTCCTGCAGGCTCTGCTCTGAGATGTCCCTGCTCTGTATGCAAGGAATGCAAGGAATATGCAAGGAATGGCCATCTGACAGGAGCGCTAAAGTGGTTCCTCTCCAAGGCAGCCACGCTGGTCGAAGCTGTTTGGAACAAACAACAGCTGCGCTATGCGATCAGAGAGCCAAATGCTGCGCTATGTGACCACAGAGCCAAAGGCCACACGCTCCTTGCCACACCCCATAATG